AAACCCCCTCTTTAAAAAACAGGGGGGGGGGACCATAATGATGTGTGTTACCTCACGTGACAGAAAAGTCTTGTTAGCTGAAAAGTGGCCACAGTTCTTCAAAGGGTCGCCCCCCTCCAGCAACACCGCTGCAGGTAATGACTAACAGAGCTAATAGGAGTTTCTCAACAGGAAAAGAACCTCCTCCAGACATGCCTTGGCCTCTTCACCGTCACAAAATGGTACTTTAAAGGGAAACATTAGCTTTTTTGGGGGGGTAGAGATAAAAGAAGCTGAGCTGTGTTTGCTAAATTGGTGACGTTTTGGCACAAATACATAGTTGTGTAAGGTCTGTAATTTGTTGGGGTCTTGAGTTCAAAGAACTACATATAGAGGACACATGGTAGACTTACAATATATCTGAGTGCAACCCCTTTTATACTTTCAGACCTACAAATCTAGACCCACCATCACTTTATATGCTTCTGTTTCTAATCAGTATAATTTTGTACTGCATTTGCGGAGGTGGTTCGGGGCTTTTAAGTGGCGAGGCGCTGGATGTGAAGGGGTTATGAGCACTTGGGGTCCTGTAATATGGCAGAGTCCCTACAGTTTCCAGAGGAGCTTTGCTTTAAATAAACAAATAAAATACTTTTATTTCACACTGATTCGGTTTTTGAAACAGGTTTGAAGTGAAGGAGGTAAGGATGTGTGAAGGTAACATGTATGTTTATGTAGGTGGCTGCAATTGTGCTTTAAATTTCTATAATTCAGCAGCACATTATTTTTCTATTCATAATCTTTATTGAGGGTTTAGAGTTTGTATTATCATGTCATGGTTTATGTGGTTAATGTGCTACGGTATGTTCACATTGTGTCATGTTGTTGCATTGTATATTAATGTCATGTTACATCATGTTTTATAGGTTATGTTATATAATGGTATATTAATGTCCTCTTCTGTCATGTTAAGTCATGATATGTCAGATTAATGTCATGTTACGTTTTTTATGTCATCACATAGTGAAGTTTATTAAGTTACAAAATATTGTGTATTATTATTATGTCATATTATGGTGGATGGTATCATTGTGTTTACTATTTAATTTCAAAATAACTGCTGTGACAAAGGTCTATTGGCTACTGCTTTCCCTTAACCGTAACATTAATTTGGCCACAGCACACACTAAAATATAGTTATAAATTTCCAGGACAACATAAATTATTTCAAGGATATTTGATCATTTTGATCACTAGTCTCTAAATGTCCAGATTTTCCAGGACACAACCCCTGTCAATGCAAAAGTTGTTGTTGTACCTTAAAATATGACGTCATGGTAAAGTAAAATGACGTTATGTCACCGTATATGATAATACGTTTGTTATGTCATGTTATGATATGAGAGCAGGTAAGGTGGTAGTTGACTGGAGGGTTTGTATCCTGCAGAGATACAAAAGGTCCATTTGGCCTTTTTCCATTGGCAGCAGAAAGAGAAAACCCACAGAATTGTGAGATTCATGTAACCACAGCGAGCTCGACTGCACACTGCAGTCAGCAGTCATTATGTAAGCCACGCTCACAGTGGTTTCAGTTATGATCAGTGGTGTGGAGTTTAATTATAGAGAGCTACTGAAACACACACACACAGACACTTTCTAATGTTTATTTTTAACACTTACATGTGTTGTAAAATTAGAGCAATTCAACAACACTGGGCTTGGTATAGTTAGAGTTTTTTTTTCTTTTTTTTGTTTGCTGCTTATTTCTACTTCAAGCTTATTTGATATGTTTTAAATACAGACAGAGAGGTGATTAAGTTAGACCAATGATTTAACAACAGTCCAAAATAAATTTGTAGAAGAAACAGTGTCATTACATGCAGAATAAACAGTTGTGTCCTTTGTACTTTAAAGGAATAAGTCAACGTTTTAGGAAATAGATGAAAAGATTGATACCAGTGCAGATGAAACAGCTAGCCTGGATCTGGATTAAACAAACTGAATATAAAGTGTTAAATACCGTGCTTTAGAGGTCCTGGTAGGCGGAGTTTGTAGCATTTGGACAGAGCCATGCTAGAGTGTGAGTGTATTGATCTTCTAATCTAACTCATGGCAAGAAAGTGAATATGCACATTTCCCAAATTGCCAAAACTCTACCCTTTAAAATATGACAATCAACACTAATTTTACAAAAATGTAGAAAATAGTCCAAAAAAATGCTTTAAAGTGCTTTTTCATGTCTTGTTTTTTACCTTAAGTTTGTTTTGCATTGTTCTGTTTGTTTTTACATTCAAGTTTGTCTGAGTTTCATTCACAAAGGCATTATATTCTTCTTTCGACTTTAGGCTGTTTTTTGGCTTCTTTGCACTTTTTCTTTGTGGGATCTTCCTCGTGTGGATTGTGTTATCTTTCAGGCAGTGGGGGGTTTGTATAGCGTTGCTTTTTAAATCAGCTGAGGCAGTCTGATTGGTCTTTATTAGCTTTATTTTGTCTCTAACTGTGGCCTTTTTTGATTGTTCCTTGGATTTCTGTCCCAACGTATTCTTCTTCATTTGTGCATTAGCTGCCTGCTTGTTTAGCACTTTGTTTTTCTTCCATGGTTCCAACTTATTTTTCTTCCTTGCTTTCTTATCAAGTGTTATCCGTTTCACAGCAGCACTCGTCGTCGTCGTCGCCGTCGTCACCCTGGCCGCAGTCGTCGTAGTAGGTCTGGCCTTGCTTCTCGTCACCGGTGGTTTGGTGGCGAGCTTAAATTTTCTTGGTGGTGGTCTCGTCGGTTTTTGATTTGTGTCCAACACAGTCACTGAAATAACACAGATGTCAGTAAGAACCCTTTTTTTTTTTTTACTCTGCAACCACATATGTTGCATTTTATAAGGCTGGACTGAATATTTGGCTCAGAAAATAGGTCTAAATGTTTGAAATGCTTTCCTCTTTTTGTCTTTTTTAAGTATGTTTGATGTAAAATTGGACACTGCTTTTTATAGTTTTATATATGACCTCAATGTGATAAAATGTGGAAGTACATAGAAACATAGTACATTTGTAGCAATTTGTTGGCTTACCAGAACAGAAGTCTTCTTACCCTCTAACATCAGTTTAATTAACTTGATAACATGTTGTGCATATGTTGTTTATATTTAGTGCACCTTGATTGAACCCAAACTTCATTTCTTTTTCTCTAAATACTGAAAAAACCATGAACATATTTCCGTTTAAAGGTACAATTACACTTTATCAGACAGTCAAACAAAATCGCTTCTTTAACGAGTCTGGTATACGCACTACACAAAAACAAGATATAAAGTTAAAAAGAAGAGGAAGTGATACAATCCGAAAGTAAACTGAGGTGACTTACGTTCCCTGGGCACAAAAGGAACCTTTTTGCCCCTCACTTTGACAGGCAGCGGCTTCTGCTTACACTTCCCCGGAGGAGCTCTCCTGCCAAAGTTAAAGGGGAAGAATATTTTTTTTAAAAAGGTTTAATTGGGTAATGTTAGTCAATAAATGGTTCTTCATTAGTTTTAGGACAATACACGATAGAAATTTATACAGATTACAGTACGAAAACTACCCAATACAAGCACTGCTCATAGGGTTAGCCTAGTTTCTGTATCTTTAAATAAGATTTTAAAGAGGAAGTAACACACTGTGAGTTACAGTTGACAGTAGATTTCTAATGATAAAAACTACTAATTCAGGCAGTGAAAATTATGATAGAGTAGCTTGGAAAGTTTGTTGATAAAGATTTGTGCATTCATGTACTGAACACTTGCAGTGGAAGAGCTCCTGTGCAGCCCTGCACAGGCAACGTCCTCCTCTCAGGTTTATTTGGCTGCATATTCTAATATTTACGATGTACAAGACATAAAGTTTTAGCGTCTGTAATTTTTATTCATTGCTCCAAGCAGACATGTACTGGATCGTGGTTACAACATAGCCTACTGATGTATGACATTTGCTAGTTGGCAACATGTTGTGATGGTAAATCAAATCTATGAGAATGATTAAACTGTTTAATGTAAGCTGTGTCCGATACTACACCTGGAGGGGTCCATGAATTTGAAAACCGTTCCCAAAGGAGACATGGTACTGGGGTATGCCGTGGCCAGAAAATATAATTCCCCTAAAAGACAAACAGATCATGAGTAGTAACATAAAACCGGTGCATAACTAAATACTGTAAATAAGAGACTGAATGATGATGATACCTGCTTCGTCTTCAGCGAACGAGATGATGAACTTGTGGTGATGATTGATGAGTCCAGGAAAAGAGCACGTCTTTTTGTCGCCCATACATACGCTCCTCTCCTTCCAGCTTCCTGTTGATTTATCTTCCTCTAACGCCATGATTCGACTGCAGGATTGACATGGATCACATATCAACATTTAGCACATTTAAGGCAGGAACTGATAGTTAATCTCTCAGCTTTATTGTAGTAAGGATGACAAAAGCCACCTAAAGAGCATAGACTAGGGATGAGCAAGTATACCATTATTTGTAACTGTTCAACCAACTAAACTATCTGTATTCATATCGTACTCGGAGTGGGCGGGGTTTAAACTGGATGTGAGTGAGTCTTAAACTGGACATGGGTGAGACTAACTAAGCCTGAAATTAATATGGGTTGATAAGAAGTAGGAATAATTATTTGAAAACGATATACAGAAAAGCCTCAAAATTGAGCTTCACAGCAATGTTTTTAATCACAGGAGTAAGAGAATTATTTACAGAACTATCTTCTTTTATAAAAGTTTATTTACGACTACAGATTTTAGCCGAGTACTGGCTCAGCCCTAATGAGGACCATTAAGGGAAACTAGAAACTAACCACTAAAACAAAGACTAAGAAACTTTTACTATTTAGTAGTCTGGAATCCCTTTTCTGCCTTTAAAGAAGCATTTCACCCGTGGAAACATTAATCTTTATTGAAAGTGGGTTATATATGTAGTCAAAATGTAACATAAATTCTGAATT